TTTTTTATTTTATTCGGCTTATAATTCCTTACTAAATGTAAGTATTTCATCTCGATGTACTCCGTCTTTGATATGATTTAAATCAAATTCCTCCTCATTATACATATCACGAATATACATCAAATAGTTTTCTGGTTGCAATTTTCTAATTTCGACTATACGTAATGTATGCTTTATGCATGCACGCATTGAAAGAAATGTTTAATAAAGTAAACAAATAAATATTAAGCTCTTTTTTTTTTTTTTTTTTTTTTTTTTTTTTGTTGTGTGTGTGTGTGTGTGTGTAAATGTTGATACCCTTTAGATCATAATTGCTCTTTATTTCATAAATTACAGTTTCATATTTTTAATTTTATAATTACTGTATGCCATCTTACCACATTTAAATTGATCATCTATAATCCGTAATAGCTGAAGTTCCGACGAGTCCGGATTAAAGACTTTTGATTGTATATATTGCTTCAAAAGAATAAAGTAAAGTTAAATTTAATTTTAAATAATTCTCTTGTGCCATTGCTGCCAGGAATGAAATTTGAATTTAGCAAACATTCTGTATTCGTAAAAAGCAAATTAAATGCAAATTTAAAGTTAATTTAAATTACATTTATTTCAAACAAATAAATGATTAATGTTGTTGCAAACTAATCTACAATATCATTTAAATTCTGAGAGCATATGTAAATCAAGTGCAAATATCAAATTCATGAATAAATATAAAATTCTAAAAATTATTTAATCTAAAAAAATTATTTAGAAAAATGCATAAGTGAATGATTGTTGTGCAGGCAGGAGACAGACTTATCAAGGGAAAGTTGCCTCCAAACCTAACTCTTCAATCATTCAATTTGTGTTTCGTTATTCATGTAGGCAAAAGTAAAAGTCAAACCAAAAGTAATACCAAAAGTGATGAATTACTAAAAAGAAATTTAAACAAGTGTAATTTTGAGAAATTAACAATTAAAAGACAAGAATTAAATAATTAAAAAAATAAGAGTAGAAAACCAAATTTTTAGAAAAGTAGTTTAGAAACTCTTGCCCACAGAAACTTCCCCTACACGAATTATGCATATAAATCAAAAGAAACTAGACATTATCTATAAAAAAACACATATAAATTATACTTAAATAATACTAAAAAGGCAAGTAAGTTACTTGGCATCATTCTGGTTTAAAAAAAAAAAAAAAAAAAAACTGATTAACACTGGTGTTAGATTTTAAAGAGATTGAGACTCTCAATTTATTGAGAGTGGATGTTTTGGGGGTGGAAGGGCTGATTGGTACATAATAAAGTTGAATTATGATATGATAAAATTCAGGATATCTTGAAAAAATTATTGATATTTACCGTAACTTCCGGAAGAAAGGCCGCATCAGCGTAAACGCCGTACTCGAGAAAAATGGCGGGAAAAAAATTAAAATTACACAGAAATGCTGCATCAGCGTAAACACCACAATAGATTAAATAGCGCGTGACATCGTCGTGGGCCGTATAGATGCAAAAACTCAACCTAAGTCCTGATATATTACATACCAGTTAAGAAAAATGCATGAAATGAAACCATAACTCAAAAATAAATTAAAGGTAAGAAATGTATAGCTTCGTGCCGTTTAGAGAGACATTTTCAAAAATTTTCTGCTCCCTTCTTACTTAAAAACTATCCAACAAGTACTTGTACCCAAACTGATGGGATCTGTATTTGGCAGAATGCCAAGAAAAATACATTCATGCTGAAGGAAAAATAGGTCAGAGTTCGTTATTGCGAGGCAGGTGGAGTCGAGTCCGCCTTTGAAAAAAATTGCAGAAAAGGCAGGGGTGGGGAGAGGATGGGTCCTGGAAGATTCATCGAATGGCAGAGGAGAGAGACTATTCAAACTGATGAGAATGTTGATTTGAAAGGGGGAAGAATGTTATTGTTCTGAGATCTCGTTTAGGGTGAATAAGGCATAAGTAGGTCTGTTCAAGGGAAAGAATGTAAACAAAATAACGTTCGCAAAAATCAACTGAGTGGTCTTTTGTATGGGAACAGCACCAGTCTATGCACAATGACAAGGCCATCCAAATTATGTACAATGACCATCATAGGAAATATTTTATTTTTAGTGCACCAAACACCTCATGGGTAGAAACGCCGCACCCTCTGAAAATATAAGTTTTAAACACGTAAACGCCGCGGCATTTCTTCCGGAAATTACGGTACATATTAATTGCTGTTGGAAACATTTGTTGGAATGAAAATATGTTGATTACTTTCAAATAAATGTCTACTCACCAATTGCAACTCAGCACTCCTGTCTAAGTGCTTTGTCTTATGCGAGTTTTGACATGTTCCACATATGTTTCATGACATATTTTCATAATGGTTTGTAAGATTTGCAATTAGAATCATGGGCAAAAGTTATCTGCTTTTTCCAGAATCACAGAATATTGCAAGTCACTCAAGAATTTTCTAATTCTCATATAATGAAATCATACATCAGTAAAGAAAACATGTAGAAATGCAGCTTTGAAATTACAGTTGGTGTGAACTGGGTATATCAAGTAAAATTGTCATAGAATTGGTCTAGTCATCTTGGAGAAGTTTCATTACTGAAATAAGGGAGAACTGAATTGCCCAATATCTATATTGTCAAGTGAAGTCTCCAGAACCCAGATCTCCATCAAAGTTATTCTGACAACAACCGTTCCGTATAGTACTTAATGTGAGAGAACCAAATTATTTCATTATGTGCAGGAATAATATTTGAATTGTTTGGTTTAACTGATTTGTGATAATTTTAATTTCGGAGCTCAATGGTTTTCATTTCAAAGGGAGTGATACTGCTGTAATAAAAATATTTATAAATTAAATTGGATCTATGAAATATGGAGTGGTAGAAAAATGTATCAACAAGAAATATGTTTTCATGCAGCCAAATAAATAAGCAAGCCAGCTTCCTGTGATCAGAATTACTAGAGATATTATTTAAGGTTTTGGGGTACTGCAATCAAACATTACTGTAAACATCTATGCAAGCATTAGGATCAGTCAGTAAATTACAAGTCAGAGGCAATTTCACAGTAATTATTTAATAAAATTCACAAGTATTGTCTGTAGGCGTGTAGGCATTTATCCCATTGTGACACCAGTCGCATAATGCCGTGCTCGTAGAAATCCTTTGGTTGCTGTTTGAACCAGTTGCACACTCACTCCTTGGCTTGATCATCAGTTTGAAATTGGTGTCCCCGCAATGCTTTTTGAAGTCACTGAAGATGTGGAAGTCACATGGGGATATATCTGACTATAGGGGGTTGGCTCAGGACTTCCCACTTGAACTTCTGCGGACATCCCTTTGTTGTATTGGCTGTGTGTGGTCTAGTGTTGTCATGCAACAGGATGACACCAAAAGAAAGTTTACCGGAACATTTCGATTTGATTGCATTCCTGAGCTTCAATATGGTTTCAAAATACCACTGAGCATTGACTGTAGCTCATTGCTCCAGGAAATCGACGAGGAGTGGTCCCTTACAATGGAAGAAGAATGGAAGCAGTCATTGCTGGAACTAATGTGGAGGGTCTTCAATTTTTTTGGTGAAGGGGAATCTGTGTGCTTCCACTAAAGCCGTTTTGACTCGGGCTGAAAGTGGTGGCACCAACTTTCATCACTGGTAACGGTTGCTGAAAAAAATTCGTCCCCATCATCATTGTAATGCTGCAGTTCTTGCAGAGACATGGCCATGTGACATCCCTCTTGTTCCAGTGTCAAATGACGCGGGACCCATTGCGCATACACTTTACGGAACTTTAGCCTGTGCTTGATGATTCTGTGAACTGTTCCATGGCTAAGCCCCACTGATACAGAAATGTCATCTACTGTTAGATGATTGTCTTTCATTATGAGCTCATCCATTTTCACAACATGCTCTTCTGTGACACATTACGGTGCTCCACTCCGCAGATCATGACCGATCGATATGTGTCCTTTGTGAAAGCTCTTGTGCCACTCGTGAACTCTTGTCTGTGACATACAGTTCTCCCCATAGATCTTTTTAATTCGTCTTTTAATTTCACGCCCTCCTACATCTTCCACTGTCAAAAAGTGCACAACATCATGCTGCTCTGCTTTGGATGCCTCCATTCCGCATCGCTTTCAAAAACAGAGTGACTGGCTGTGGCTGATGCTTGGTTATTATCCTTTTCTCACTCCCTGCCAGACAAGTAAAGGCATCTGGTGAAAGAAATGCACATGAATCCTTACACCACACCCGACTCTCCATTTCCGACGCATGTGCACTTTTCTACATACAGTACTATTTGTGCAATATTTACTGACTTGTTATTTATTGACAACCCCTCAGAAATTTTTTTAATGCAAATATCGAACAGATTTTTTTTTTTTTTTTTATCAGACATGCATGATAATTGAGGTATAGCTTTAAAATTTCTATCTGTAGAAATATGAGAATTAAAAATTTTCTATATTATGTCATTCACTTTTTTCTGTGACCCTTAGAATCAATGCTTCACCCTGCTTGTTTTCATCAGGCAAAGTAGTTTAAGTCATATTTTATGATTTTTACCACAATATCATTCATGTTTTCGAATAGAACAGTTTGCTAAATTGTGGAATTATAATTTTTTAACGCTATTTTTTACATATCATTCAATCTTTTTCTTTAAAGGATCTTTTATAAAATGAGCATTGTTTTATCAGTTAGATTATTCTCTGTAGAGAGCATATGTACAGATTACAATGGTGCACATTTTCACTAAAACATGTCACAAATTGGTCACACTCTAATTGCTTACCTTATGTGATTGATATTTTAAATTGGAATCATGAGTCTACAATTAACCATTCAAGATATATTTTAGTTGTGCAGTCTTTTTCCTCAAATAATCTGTATAGTTTAAAATATGACAATGGAATTAATTTCCTCTATTTAAATTTTTTTTAAGTAATCATGACTTAAAAGTTTTCTAATATCTGGGCCAGATTTTAATGTTCATTTTCATCTTCAGGGAATGCCAGAATCATGGGCAAGATTGTTGCAAAGTTCTAACATTACCAAATCAGAGCAGAAACAAAATCCTCAAGCAGTTTTGGATGTTCTGAATTGGTATGATGCTAGTACCAAAGAAAAACAGGAATCCAAATACATGACTATGAATAGAACAATTGGTAAGTATGAAAAAAGTGTGAAATATATCATTGCATATAGTGAGTATTTTATCACATCTGATTGGTAAGAATTGTATAAAAATGTCTATTTACCTTAATAGCATTTAAAAAATCAATTTTATCACTTCTAATTGGTAAGAATAGTATAAAAATGTCTGTTTACTTAAATAGGGTTTAAAAATTCAAAGAGGAAATTTGATATTTGTGTGGAAATCTTGTTTATTTGGCTTATATTATATCCTTGCCAAAGGTTATATAGCCAAAAATTTCCTTATTATTACAAATGAGAATATTTTTAATTAGATTTTTATTTATTATTTTTTTTATATATATATATTTATGTTAGTTACACAGTAAATTTTAAATAACTGTTAAGAATATTAAAACTTATTTTGTTTGGAAAAAAAAAATTCCAGTAATGAAAACTTACCATCACAACTATTTTCTGATCTCTTGAATTTGTATTTAATAATTATTTATATATATTATAGAACAATTTCAAATAATATATTCTTGAATCCTCATAATTTTATTTAGTTTTTCGTAAGAAATACAGATACATTTATTTTCATTAAAGTAGCAAAAAACCTTATGTCATTTTTGTGTAACTTTTAACAGTAGTTTTCAATAATTGAAGATGAAAATTTGAATAGTGTTCTTTATTTAAGCTTTGTATGCAGGTACACTGCAAAAAAAAAAGGGGGAGACAGTTCTATATCTCCGTGCTACTGGGCCGATTGATGAACTAACAAATTTCATTTTTCATGTCTCGAAAGTGTGACTTAGGATATGTATTATATTTATATATATAGCGTTGTTCTAATACAGGTATTTTGACACAAAATGACTTTTTCTGAAATTACATGACAATTTTTTCCCATATTTCGATTCTACAACTCAAATTATGCCAAACTGCCAAGTTTTGTATCAATTGCACGAGTAGTTTTTAAAAATATTAGTTCTTAAAATTGTAGCTCCTCAATAATAATTGAATCTGATATATATTTATTAATATCTCTTTTTTATTAAACTTGCATGATTTATTCTTCCTTAAGCATAATGTGAGTCGTAGAATCAAAATATGGAAAAAAATTGGCATTGCATTTCAGAAAAATTTCAATTTTTGTATTGAAATACCTATATATAAATCTAATATATATCTGAAGTTAGAATGCTGCTATATATAAATCTAATATATATCCGAAGTTGCACTTTCGAGATATGAAAAACGCAATTTGAATTTCGTGAATTTCCCCTGTAGAACAGGAGATACAGAATTGTTCTACCTTTTTTTTTTTTTTTTTTTTTTTTTTTTTTTTTGCGCAGTGTACATTGTTTTGTACATTCAAGATCACAATATATCCTTGCCAAAGTTTTCATTTACATAATCTAAATGTTTACTCATTTAATTTCAGTGATTAATTTTGACAATAATTAAGATTGGATATCATTTTTATATTTGAACAAATTTTGCTGCAGTTAGTGATTAAAATGCGTATATAAATGCAACATTGAATGTTTTTAGATTTGGCAGTATGTAGTGGAGCCGAATGGAGTCAAACCATTATATTGCAATAATAAAATGTAATTTTCGGTTTGCATTTTGTTGAGAAGGCAAACTGTGTTGGTACGTCAGCAGAAAAATGGAGTTAATATGAGAGCATTTCTCAGTAATATGTAATTTAAGTAGGAATACAGGGAAAGTTATTTCCTTATTATTACAGCCATTTTGTAAACGATGCAAAGCGAAATGCATTATTTACTGACACGTGAGAAGGTTGCTAAATCTTTCATCCAAGAAAGATGCATTTTTCTTCTCATTCAAGTATACAAAAATTGTCATGAAATAAAACTATATATGAAACAATATTGAAAGCATTTGAAGGTGCAATGTAAAATGTTGGAAGTGAGGGAAAAGCATGCATTTTGACGACTTTTTCAGTGGTTTCAAATAACTATTTGTAACAGTGCAGCAATTTATTTATGTTTGGCCAGAGGAACTGGCATTGCTTTAGTAATGGGAGAAGTAACCCAGTTTTTACGAAAATAAAATTACTGACTGCAACAGTTTTATGAAGAGGTGTATTCTCTATATATAATCCAACAAGCAGAAAAGCCAATATGTAGTCATAAAACAATTGTGGCCATAAATGAAAATCTGTTTGTATGCCAACAGGGTTCTTCCACAATACCAGATATTTGGCGAGTTATGCAGAGATATTAGTAATTCTTTCTTGCTCAGATTCGTCGTGAGTCAGGCAAAAATTGTCAACCATTGTAGAGGGATTGACTGTTTATTAAGGCTGTTACAATGAAACATTGTAAACAATGAAAACAGCTGGCGAGTTTATAAAATAGAGGAACTGAAAAAAGCTCTTTAAGAGACATTTCACTGTGGACTATAAATATTATTTTGTTGCTCTAAGAGCTGCTGATCATTCAGAAAATGTTGCAAGAATGTGCCACTCCACTATGTAGCTCAATAAAAATAAACAGGTCTTGTTCACCACTGCCATTTACCTTGCAGAATTTCCATGTGGCAAAAGCCCTTAGGATGTGAAAATGATTGTGATGTCATTTTAAAAATAGTCTGTGAAACATAACAATCATGAAATGTATGTGAGCAATAAATATGAATAGGGTGATAATCATGGTGCTAACCCTACGCTGCATGTTCTAATACTGTTTTTAATAGATTTAATGATTCACTTGCAAATGGCGAAAGCTAGTTAATGAAACACATACTGTTCATTGTTTCACCGTAACAACACAGTTAAGTTAAACAGAGTGCATGTTGTGATTAAAAAGGGCAAGTGATTAAATATGCAGAAATTTTCACATATCTGGGTAATATCTTGTATGATCAATTGTTTAGAAGGTTTGCTGCCATAGTTCCTCCAGGTAAGGATGATGTCTATAGGTAAAGATGGTGTGTAAATTAGTGCATAAAAAATTTCATCAAGAACAGTCTAATATTGTGTATAACATTAAAACATGTAATGGACAATATTCCAGTATATTTGTTATGACAAATATAATAGTGGTAATAAGTCTTCCCAGATGATCTCCCACTAATAAAAAGGAGGAGATGGCAAACTATTAATTGCCATATTCTTCATTTGGTTAGGCCGTTTATAATCTAATTGACACCACTAGGGATTATATCATAGCATCACTACTGAATGATGCATAGCTATTTGTTTACCAGTGCTTGTGAGAAATATCTGGAAAAATGACAATGAAATTAAATCACCTTTTGTAGCAGTGCTCCAACTGATACCGCAGTACAAACAGTGGAGTTTTTCCACATTTCAAACATCATAGAAATGATTTGTCCAATTTACAGCCCAGAGCTCATAATCAATTCTGCCAGGAATGGTTTAAATAGATGCCAAGCATATCATCTGTAATAAGACCTACTTTGAAAAAATCAAGATAAGCATACTTCAGGTTTACGATATTTCATTGTAGGCTGTCTGAACCTTTTCAGCAATATTAATTGTATAGGTTATAAAATGTTTTTACCCCTTTGATATTTACTTTTTACCTTCTGTACTTAATTTTATTATTATTTATTGCTGACACTCCCACTAAACGAAAGTGCTACGAAAAGATGAGGCAATGCACTATGTTGTCAGAAAACATTAATGTGGCAATCCACGATGCCACCAAAAAAATATTACCAAATCATTAAAATGTGTTCCTTGTGACCCAGATATGCACATAGCAAACCTCAAAGAGCTTTCTACTTCTCTGAATATGTGGTTGACTACAAACTGCAGTTTTCATCATCTCCAGTGAAATCTGGGACTTAGCTTTCTGCATGCATAAAGCAAAATATGTATCACTGAAAGACATCATGCATTTATTTTTCCCTTCTCATTTTAGGATTTTAGTGCTGATGTGTGTGATGCTGAGTTTGTGCAATCCCCCCCCTTTTTTAACTAAAAAGAGATTGTTTTGTACATGAACAGAACAACAGCCCCAAAAATCAAGAAGTATATATATCTCACATATGAAAATAGGATGATGCAGGGAGGGGAAAGAGGCCCTGGATGCATTGTTTGAAATAGATATAAAAATACCCAAACAAATATTTCTTTCAGAGTTGCCAGCAACTTCACAAATGCTTGCCATTAAGTCCATGATCCTTCAAAGGTGGTGCAGATAATCTGAAAATATCAATTTGTTTGTAACTGAGATTTTAAAATGATATTGACAATTGATATGCAGCCATAAATGTAATAGAAATGGCAATAATCAGTGTTATGTAATATAAATTAATTAAACCTTTTACATCTTTCTAAACATGTCATAATATTTTTCACTAAAAATTACCGTATATTTAATGTTGCCTGTCAAACTTATTTTGACTATGTTTAAAATTTTTAAAAAATGAAGGAGGATAGAAGCATGGAATATATACAGAAATAACATTGAAAGAGTTAAGTAGAAAACATGAATCTGTATCTGCTGATGAAATTTTAATTATTAAGAAGCTGTAAAAAGTTAAATGAAATTTATTTTTACCCTTTCATCATCAAATGCAAGTATTAAAAGGGAATTAACTGGAATAAATGTTAATGTTGTATGGCTTAACAGTTAAATTTCATTGAACAGGACAGTTATGAGATGCTGTTTACTAAGATTGTTGTAATTGTTTTAGAGGAAGTTTAAAAAAAGAGGTTAATTACTGCTCTGCCAAAAATTTAAGCATAATTTTTTCCATATTCATAAATGCTCTGTACTAAGATTGTTGTAATTGTTTTAGAGGCAGTTAAAAAAAAGAGGTTAATTACTGTTCTGTCAAATATTTAAGCGTAAATTTTTCCATATTCATTTTGTGCTTGATTTTGCAGCTTAATCGTAGACATTATAACTGATTTATGCTATAGCTTAAGGCAGTGCTCCGCAACCGGTGTGCCATGAGTAGGATATAGGTGTGCCGCAATCAAATACATTTATTTGACATTTTGCAATTTTTTATCATGTATTTAATACACAATGACAACTTTTTTTTCCTTGATAATGTCTATTTTAAATGTTTTTATATATTTCACTGTTGTGTGGTTGTGTGTGTGATTGTAAGTGTGTCAGCATTTGAATTTTTTTGGCACTTCCTTGATAACTTGGAACTCTTTGGTGTGCCACAAAATTCTAGAAAGATTTTTTGTGCGTCGCAGGTGAGAAAAGGTTGTGGAGCACTGGCTTAAGGAACCATGTTGTATATTTTCTCTTTGTTTAAAATAGATAGAAGTTTTACGAAAAGTGCTAAAATGTTCTATTTGTATACTTATTTAAAAAATTTTTGAAACATATTAAGTTTAAACTGAATTTTTTTCATCTAATAATTCTCTGCAATGCTATTGCATTGTTTCCTTTTGTATCATTTATTGACATTTAACTGTATATGTGTTATGCATATTTTATACATGAGAAATAATTTTAACTTCTAACTTTTGCTTTAAAGCTGACATAGTGAACATATGGCACCCAAGTAGGTATTTTTTTATAATTATACTTTAAGAGTTTAACTTAGGAGACTTATTCTCGGTATTTACAAATGAAAATACATTTTCGAGCTAGAATAGAGTTTCTTTTGTGATTTATTTTAAATCATTATATGCCTTCTTTTATTGGGAAAAAATTATTACTAAAAGTATTTCTACTTCTTTATTTATTTAGTACATTAAAATTTTCATGTTTGCCCTTTATATATATATATATATATATACACACACAGGGTGTCCCAGGATTATTGGGACAAACTTTAAGGGAAGTAGGGGACATCATAAGGATTTAGATTGCATAGTAATCCATAGTCAGAAATGTCTTCGTTCGGCACTAGGCATTGTTCACAAGAGCATTGGAGGGAACAGACCTGCATTGCTGCAGTAATTTGAGCTGTCATCGCTCGCAGAGGATTAAAAAAAGACAAGGTGGATGACAAGGTGAGCAGAGAGGATGACAAGGTGGCAGGTGTGTACCTAATTTATGGATTGGCAGAAGGAAATGCATGAGCAGCAAAAAGATTGTATTGCGAAAGGTACCCACAGAGTGCATCGGAGTGCTGGCTGTTTACTAATTTGCATCACAATTTGTATGAATTTGGATCATTACAAGGTAATAGGCATAGTGGGGGCGGGCCACGAGCAACCTTGAGCTCCCAGCATGGAACAAAAGGTGTTGGATACCATCCATTGGAGTTCAAGTACCAGCATACGAGCCATCGCTGCTGCTGTTGGAAGATCTCGGAGTAATGTTCATCGTGTCTTGCAACATGAAGGCTTATACCATTTTCAAAGAATACCGTCTCTGCTTCCTACAGATCACCCTGAGTGTGTGCATTTTACACAGTGGTACCTCGACAATTGTCACCAAGAAGTGTATTTCCCATCCTATGTTATATTTACGGATGAGACGTACTTCAGGTGAGATGGTGTGTTCAACCATCACAGTGCACATTTATGGGCTGACGAGAATCCCCATGGCATGAGACCACATGCTGCCCAACATTGGTTTTCAGTGCATGTTTGGGTTACTGATGTCGATGACCATTTGTTGGCCGTATTTGTTGCCGCCAGCACCTCTAATAGCTCATCTTTGTGCAAGAAGTGCTACCAAGCTTACTTCACCCTGTACCACAACATTTCAGATGCTATGTGTTATTTCAGCATGTTAGGACGTCTCCCCATTGTGGCAGATGTGTTCGTGAACATTTGAATCAGGTCACCGATGGATTGAGCGGGGTGGACTGGTTTCTGGCCACCATGCTCTCCTGATTTAAGCTGCATGAATTTCTTTCTATGGGGTACACTGAAAAATGTTATGTACCTGTGTATTCCAAAATGGGTCTGGTTGCAGATTGTCTGTGCTGCTGCGGATATCCAACAAAATCCAGGTGTATTTGATCCAGTCCATAGTCCAATAGTGTAATACATGCATCGCTAGCAATGGCAGAAATTTTGAACATCTTTTGTGACATTTTCATATGTCGTCTACCACAGCACATGTAATATCTTTGACTAATAAATATTTCAGATGATCTCGGTCTTGTGTCTCTTCGTTTCTTGTACCTGTCAGACTACTATCCCATGACGTGTCCGACCATAGGTTTCTACACACACTCACTCTGTCACAAAAAAAAAAAAAAAAAAAATATGCACTCAAAAGGAAACGAATTACCGTCACGAAGTTTAACATGTATGTAGTGTATGAGGAGATAGGCAAATGATTACAAATTCAGATCAAAAGATTGTTTTATTAAGTTATGCCATGAAAAAGTTTACAGATCAGTAAGTAGTATATGCACCTCTGACAGCTACACAAGCCGAAACAGACGTGGCATTAAATCAAGCAGGTCACCTATGATTCCCTGCAGAAGATCATGCCGTAATCTTTACAACTGGGCAGTTAATTCACCAATATTCCGGGACAGCTGCTGTTGCTTTCCAAGCATATGCCATATGTGCTTTATTGGCAAGAGGTCTGATGACCTGGCAAGCCACGGGTGTACATCATATCCTTGAAGATATTGTTAGGAGTGTGGCACAGTATGTAGACGAGCATTGTTTTGCTGATAAATGCATGGTGTTACCATGGAAAAACCGTACGAAGTTTTGTGAGTTCTGTGCATGCCCACCTCTGATAAGCTGCGGATGGGGGAGAGAAAGGCGTGCATGCAGCGGCAGTTCCTCTTCTCATCGAAATGTCATTATTGATGTGTTAAATAAAGTTTATATATTTTATACTTGTCTTTGACATACTTTGGACCTCTACATTGGTGACTGATGTTGGACAACGCACATCTTTTGATTGTTTCTTGGAATTTGAACAAAATACAAAAACCGAACTAAGCAAAACATCATAAATAATGGATGAAATATCAGCAGTGAAATACCTCCTTTCATTCTTTCCAATCCATCTCTGTGGTTCACAATAGTGGAATCTACTTTTGAATTAGCAGTTCTAAAGGCTATAACAGAATGCAGAACCAAGTATAACCACTGTATGGCACATTTACCTCCCAACATAGCTATGACCATAAGGGATATCATCATTTCTCCTGACAAAACGGATCAATATGGGAAACTGAAGAATGAAGTCATTTCTCACTGTGGTGAAAGTAAATCGCAGGAAATATGTCGCTTACTTGCCGGTGAGCAATTAGAGGATTGAAAGCCATCTGAACTGTTACGCGTTATGCAGTGGCTTGCCGAAAATCCAAACATGACGGATACTTATGTTTTGAAATTATTTCTGCAGCAACTACGTACGAATGTGCAATCTATTTTAGCATCAATCACCCCTCTAACCACACAAAAGGCTGCTGAAATAACGGAAGTGTCATCTGCTCAGGTAAGCATAGTTTCTGATTCTTGTGCATCATCTAGTGTTACACCGAACTCTGAACTGCTTAAAGAGAGAAAATCGCTTCGCAAGGAAGTTCCATTTATACGACGTTCAAGAAGTCATTCTTGTAATTTTAATTTTTGTCATGCAACAAATCGTGAGAAATCCTCTAAAAAAAAGGTTATCTATGTGGTACCACCAAATTTTGCTTCTAAAGCAAAAAAGTGTACTCCACCCTGCAATTTTTAGGGAAATTTCCAGGGCAAGGAGTAGCAGCGACATACGCCTTGCCTTCTAGTTCTCGTTGCCTATTTATTCGTGATCACAAAACCAATATTAACTTTTTAATTGATACAGGTAGTGGTTGTTCCTTAATTCCAGCCTCAAGATCTGATAAAATGACTACTCCTATTCAAACTTTTCTGGCTGCAAATGGTACTAAGATAAATGTATATAAACAAAAATTATTATCTTTGATTTAGGTTTAAGAAAACAGTTTATCCTTTTTATACTAGATGTAATGTTCAAACTACTATAATTGGTGCAGATTTCTTACACTATTTTAACCTACAACCAGATCTTAGAAGTCACCGCTTAAACGATACTTACACCAAATTAAATTCTTATGGTATTTTACATGTTCCTAGTATGTATTCAGTGAAATCTGTAATTTGTAATAATCATTCTGCTATGTTGTTAAATGAATTTCCTCGTATTGTTCAAGCTCCTTGTGCAGACCAAATTGCCAAACTTACAGTTCAGCATCATATTGAAAATTTTGGCCCTCCCGTTTTTGCCAAACCACGTTGGCTTGCACCCGATCGTTTGAAAATTGCAAAAATGGAATTTCAACATCTGTTAGGCCACATTCGCCCATCCAACAGCAATACGCTTCACCATTGCATATGGTCCCTAAAAAAGGTATGAATGATTGACGTCCTGTCGGTGATTTTAGAGCCCTTAATGCTCAGACTAAAAAAGACAAATATCCAATCCCTAGTATTATTGATTTTACAGGTGAACTCCATGGGTGCAACATATTCTCCCATGTAGATTTAGTCAAAGCATTTCATCAAATTCCGATTGCTCCTGAGGATGTCCATAAAACTGCTATCTGCACACCATTTGGACTTTTTGAGAGTACTCGGATGCAATTTGGTTTGTGCAATGCATCAAGCACTTTTCAAAGGTTTATCAATGAGGTGACGAGAGGTTTAACCGGTGTATATGCATTTATTGATGATATTTTGATTGCCTCAAAAAGCCACAAAGAGCATTTTAACAATCTATGAGCTCTCTTTCAAAGATTAGATCATTATGGTTTAGCAATCAAACCCTCAAAGTGTACATTTGGAGTTTCTACCTTAGATTTTTTAGGATATAAAGTCTCTAAAGAAGGTATTTCTCCCATTCCAGATCAAGTTGATGCCATTTCTAAATTTCCTAGACCAACAAGCTTAACACAACTTCGCAGATTTCTTGGCCTATTTATTCAATTTTTATCACCGATTTCTGCCACATGCAGCGCACATTTTGTCACCTTTAATTAAGCTTCTCGAAGGTCATTCTAACAAAAAGAAATCATTCCATCCAACTAAGAAGACTGAAAATCCTCTCCCGTGGTCTGAGGATGCCGAAAAGGCATTTTTAGCAGCTAAAGAAGCTCTTACAAAAGCTACCTTGTTAAGAGATCCGATTCCTAGTACTCAACTCAGTCTTTGGACTGATGCATCTGATGTTGCTATGGGCAGCTCTCTCATGCAACTCCAAAATGGTCGATGGGAGCCAATAGCATTCCTTTCTTGAATTGAATAACAGTCAATGGAAATTGTCTACGTATGACAGCGAACTTCTGGCAATATATGAGTCTTATCAGGAAATTTCGGCACATGTTAGAAGGTCGCAGCTTCCTCATATTTACCGACCAAAATCCACTAACATTCGCTTTCAGACAAAAAGCAGAAAAGTGCTCTCCTCGACAACTGAGACACTTAGACTATATCTCTTAATTTTCCACTGATATATAATATGTTAAAGGTAGAGAAAACATTATTGCTGACACATTCTTCCGAATAGAAGTAGATTCTGCTTCTCACTCACCTATTCTGGATTTCAAACAGTTAACTTCAGTACAACTCACAGACC